TTGATCATGGTTAAATGTTACGTGATCAACTTTTTTGATACACATAGTCAGTCAACTAACATGTCTATGGATCATAAAAAATGGGAGATCAAAGAAATGATTCATACTCACCCGTCAACAACCAGACGATGTGTATCCCAATGAAGTTTAGGTACCGATCCATGATTCCTCACATAGTGCAATGGTGTAGGGGTAATAAAACTTTGCATCAGCATTAATAACGGAGGCTCAGAATTGAATGGATGTTTTCCCGTCAATCTAATCAACTATTGATGACGAGGAATCCAATTGTCAGGGGTGTTGAAATCTCTAGGATCTATGTCTATCCTCTCGAGAGTGTGAGGACCATTAACTAAAGATGCATTGAGGGTCGATTCCATCAAACTTTGACGTTTCTCACCGTTATTTGATGAGGATGATACGTATTTGACAAAACCACTAACATGTTCTCCAGTATGTTGAAAGTGTTGCACTACGGTTTCCATATTTTATTTTCCGAGTTTTATTGTCAAACTTGAAAATACTTATTACATGAATATATGCTAGGACGAAAATGGGATGAGAGAGAACTTAGGGAGGTAAAAAAATCTATAAGTTGGGCCAAGCAAAACGATGCGTCTAGAGAGGACTATGCATTTAGGGAAAATGCATTTAGAGAGGCCTGACTGTATCTAATAAAAAAAAAGCTTGCGCATATTATGCAATAGCGGGAGTCTAGAAGTAACTTAAGCTAATTGAATAATAAATGGTTTGTTTTACGTTAGCCATCAATTTCATATTACTACTATATATATAATAAATTATTTACCTCGTTAAAAAATATGTCTGCTGTAATACAATCAACAATATCGACTTCTTTAATTGCCACCGTTTTTTTAACACTATGGGAGATACTGCGTTATTTTACCCTCTTCTTGAATACTCTCGTGCATATTATTCAGAATAAAGCACCAATTTCCAAGTCACGACTGTTATTACAGTATTATGAATTTGCTACGTTATACGAGGTACGTGTTATTTCAGGAAAACCCCGAAACAAAGTACACCGTATCCATTTTGAAGTAATGCAGTAATGTGACTACCTTTACCTACAATGTAACAAGTTAGAAGTATAATGTTAGATCTAGTAGTAAGAGTTTTTATACATAAAGCAGAATAGCGTCAAA